AGCATCCTGTCAGTGTTTAAGAGTTGAGGGCTGTTTGGAAACTGAAACAGTATTTGCTGTGTGAGCAAGGAGACAGCAAGGAGCCTGGATGTAGCTCAACTGTTCTGTACTAAAGCTGCTTGGTGCTGTGAAACTGAAACTTCTCTCCTCTGCTTGTGTTTTGCATTTGGAACAGATTTTTCAGGCGGGGAGGGGGAGTAGAACATCAGAGCGTGTTAAGAATAATACACAAAATAGTAATGCACTGATGGTCATTTTGAAAAATCCTTTCTTAGTGAGCACCTAGAAGCCAAGAGGAACATACATGTCAAATTTCAAGTTCATAGGCTTTACAGTTCTGGAGATTTTGTGATGATGTCTGAGTGGTATTTCGCGTGTATGTATGTATGTATGTATGTATGTATGTATGTATGTATGTATGTATGTGTGTGTGTATATATATATATATATATATATATGCGAAATACTATATATATGATTCTATGTATTGTTTTCCCATTGTCCTTCTTTGTTTTTTAATCCGTTGCCTGTAAAATAATTTATTGGGGCTAAGTTGTCCATTTAATAAGATTGGTGCCACTACTGAAAATGTTCTACTTAAATTAAACCTTTCACCAAATTTCTATCAACAGGAGAACAGGATCTCAAATGATTTGCATTTTATCAAACGTTTTCCATGAATGCTCTTTTCCATTGATACATCAACTATTGGAGCTTTTGCCTATGCATGAATATACTATCTGACCATTTCCTTTATGGTTCTTATGCTTTAATTTTATACCGTTTTGACATTATATTATTAACCATAATGCGTAGATTTTTATGCTGAAAACTTGTATGATTTCAGACTACCGAGCTATGGGAAATTTACATGAATGAATGTGCTTCCATAGCAATAAATTCCTCCCCATAAAAAAGATCTAGCCTGTCTTTCTCTGGATCTGCATTTTAATCATTTGAAGGGAGGCAGCCCAGAGAGAGATTTACTAATTCCATTATAACGCAAACGAGATTTCAGACAACCTTCTATAAAACAGTATCAATTAATGCTGAAAGTATTGACAAACAAATACTTTATTAGGGTTATAAGGTACACAATTTCCCTTTTTATAGATTTTTACCAGCTAATATCTGTAATTATTGGCATGTCATTAAATGTCAATGTTATGCCTACTCCAATAGAAAAATGAAAAAAAAAATGACCATTTTTAAAAAGGAACTTATCAAGGTATACATATAAGTAAGCTGATAATCTACTTTGGTTATGCCAGACCAAGTGGAAGATTGTTATTAAGCCTGGCTCAGAAAAATAGTTTGCTACAAGTTACTCATGGTGGATTGTGCGTTTTATCAGAAGTACAACTATGTACTGCATGGATGGTAAGAGTCTCCCAGTTTTGAATACTGAGGAACTTATGGATGTGGTAAATTATATTCCTTGATGTTTTAAGATATAAGATAGAATATAAGTGGTAAAATCTGTTGACCACATCTAGACTTAATTCCAATCTACTAGTCCTTGGCCCCACAATGACAGATATACTGAAGATAGCCGTCATGCTCACACTCATTTTGGAAACACCGAGGCACTTCCGGGTTGAAAGGATTGGTTGGTGACATCACCTTTCCCTGGGGGATGCTCAGCTGGAGGCCCTTTTCATGTCCCCAGCAGAAGCTGGAATGAATGATGGGAGCTCACTTCATTCTACAGCAGCACTTGGGTCTCAAACACGGGCTTGCTGTTTGGCAACCCAGCATTTTAACATGAGACACTGTGCTCTGGAGATAGGCCTCATTAAATATGATGGGACAGTATTAATCTGGAAGTTTGTATTTACGTATTTATATAGAAACTTCACACATAAATATACAACACTAGGCACATAGGATACTTTTGGTTTCTAACTCTGCTGATTCCAATCTAGAATGCAGGAGTTGTTTTGATTGTTTGCTAACAAGTTGCATTTTCCTCTCCTTGTAACTTTTCCCTTGTATTGGAGCCAAGATGAAGCAAATATGGCCAAAATTTACCAAAGTGAAAGAACAATAAATCAATTGGAATTATTTTATTCCAAGTGAGCTACAGATTTAAAAAAAGAGGATGAACTCACATATAAAGGCCAGCTTGTTTTGTTTTGTTGTTTGTCCATTTCAGAGAACAACCTTGAAATGGAAGTGGTCTATCCATGGAAACAATAGATATACAGGTTGTCCTTGACTTATGATCACAATTCAGCCCAAAATTTATGTTCTTAAGTAAGACAGTTGTAAAGTGAGCTTTGCCCCATTTTACGACCTTTCTTGACACAGTTGTTAAGTGAATCAAATTAGTAGTATGGTTGTTAAGTGAATCTGGCTTCTCCATTGACTTTGCTTGTCCGAAGGTCATTAAAGATGATCACATGATCCAGGACACTGCAAATGTCATAAATATGAATTTTGATCACATGACTAGGGGGGTGCTGTAACAGTTGTAAATGTAAAAAATGGCCATGGGGCACTTTTTTCAGTGGGATTATCACTTTGAATGGTTACTAAATGAACTATTATAAATCAAGGACTACTTGTATAGCAATATTGCATGCAATTAGAAGCATCTGGTCATAAGATAATTTGATCACTAGTCAGGTCATTGCATGAAGATCTATAGTGGCAAAAAAGTCCAGTACCACCTTTCAGTTAGCCAAATTATCAGATTCCTGATCTATTGAATCCAACAATTTGTTCCCATTCCTCTTGTTTTGAAGGCAGCTTAGGTCAAAACCAGTGGTTGGTATCTGTATTTTAAATATGCTGTAAGAACAGAGAACGATCCTCCTCAACTCTGTCATAATGGCATGATAATTTTGAGAAGAAGAATTATATCGTGTATCTGCCCTAAATTATTTGACATACCAAAGAGATCTCCCAGAATGATGGCAACTGGACTCCAGAAAGTAGCAGAATGTAAATTAATGCATAAATTAACCTCTGGAGAAAATGTGGTCCTCCAAGAATCCAGAAATGTACAATAGGACTAAGCAATCTTATACCTTTGAGAGTTAGTTCTTGCACAGAAGAAATCCTTGTAACAGAACTGGACATTACTTGGCCTCCCATCCAAAGTAAGGTGTCATCAAATCTTTTCTACAGGTTGGGTAGAATATGTTGCAAAAATTGAGCCCTGAATTTCTTTTACATAGGATTTCAATTTGATATACTGAAGTTATTGGAATATTTTTCTATATAAAAGTATTCTTATCATAAATTGTGGATTCTTTGTATGCTTGTTAAATGCTTTCATATCAGGAAAGCACCTGATATTACCCTCTTCTCATCTTTACATATTAACAAGGGGATGCTCTGTTTTATTTGTAAAAAATAAATCTACCACCTAACATGTTTACAATTATACACAGAAATATTGATGCGTACAAATAGCACAAATTCTGATTGATATAGAGGTTCTGCATTTATAGACACCAGTATGTGAAACAGTACTTGTTTTAATAGAGCTCACAAGATTACATTAAATTATCAGAATAAGTGTGCTACAAAAAAAAATTCACATTATGGAACATAAAGCAAAAACTTCAAGCCTTATACTTTGACCTCTTGAAGCAAATAAATAAAAGCAACAAGAGAATGATTCAATTCAGAACTTGGGAAGAAATTAATAGAACTAGAGGCAAGGGATATATTTCCTAAAAACTTGGAAAGCAAGACTTCCTAAAGCAAATATCCAATTTTGTGTACAACAATCCCTCGGGACACATGTTCATAAGAAGTGATTCAATATACTATAAAATTTGAAAATCATTTGGACTTTGACACCCTTACAGCTTGCTTCATTCATAAGCACATCAGGCCCCTTCGTTACTAATTTACCAACTGACACAGGTTTAGTCACCTTTAATGTTTAATCTATTATTAAAGGTTAAAATTACCCCGTGGTTTTTAATGCAAATGATATGAGACTCTAGAATAAAAGAGAGGATGTATTCCAGCTTTTGTTTCCAAGCAGCCCAAATTGATGACACTTTGTCAAATAAATGAAAATTGTGGTACAATTTTATCCTGTGCTTTAAAGTACACATTACCTGATCTCTGCTGTATTAAGAGAATATTATTATTAGGAGTCTTCTTTATGAATGATTTCAAGGAACAATTCATTCAGGAACTAGAAGCCTACAGGAGTACTGTAACACTAGATCTGTGCCAGAATCATTTCCTTTGGACTGCTCTGTAGGCATTTCATGGTTATGTTTCATTTCCTTTGTCCCTCACTGCTCTTGATAGACACTCTGCCACCTGAGATAGGTTTCAAAGGAGTTTACATGTGGCTGAATTTATTATGTGGCACTGTGGCTTCCTTTCTTTCAATCCAACTCCAAACTGAGAGACACAAGTGCTGCATTACGCCTCTGGAGATGAATTTGGTACGTGGGTGCTCTCTGGAAAGGTGTGAAGACTTCTCCCACTTACACACCTCTTAACAGCACAAGCATCAGAAAGTAATCAAACAAAGCAATGGGACACCTTGTCCAGAAAACTAGTGCAAACACGGCTTTGCCTTATGACCTACTTATGATAACAATACAATACCGGAGCAATAGTGAAGGAGGGTTTGTGGTGTGTCTTCGATCCACAGCAACCTCAAAGCTGGGCAAAATGTCAATAAGGAAGGAGGCAAAGACTCTGCGACCGATTTTGAACGTTCTCTCTAATCCTCAAAATACTGATTTTCCCCACCCTCCGAAGTACAGAAGTACAGTTATAAGAAGAAGCGGCCGACTACACGAAGGATACATGTAACGGGCGAGAACCGATTCAGAAAGCAAATCCTAGTTTACAATAGATGGAAAGCGGGCATTCCCATGCTGAGCATCCGGGAAGAAAATTGCCCTGCAACTGAATGGAAAATCGATATGAAAGGGTTAAAAAAAAAAAAAACTTCCCCCCAAGCACCACCTAGGAGCTCTTTCGCGGCAAGCAGTCCGTGCACCCAAACAAAAGCTTACCTTGCTCCCAAGAGCGGTTCAGACGCGCATGAACAGCAGCGGGCTTTCTTTGACTAAACCCTCAGCCAGATGCTCCCAACCCAGCAATCTGTTAAGTAGGAAGTGCACACCAACCTGAGTGGCTCCCCGGCCCCCAAGCCTGCAAGGCAGAGCCCGTCGTGAATTGCACACCTGCTCGCTCGCCTTCCGCCGCTGGTGTGGCTGTTCCTCGACTAGCAGTCGCCCTGGGCAAGATCAATTTGCGAGGGGGGAGGGCAACACCCTTCTTTGGGGGGTCACCACTTCACGCTTGCAGGGCAGCGGGCGACCGCTCGAGAGAACATTGCGGGGAAGAGCCCCGCCGTCTCTCCCCCTCCCTTTTTGCCCTCAAGATGCGCCTCCAAGCGCGCGCGCCCCGGCCTGCAAAACGCAAAGTGCCCGAGAGACGTAGAGCGGATCACGCTGCATTCCACCCTTTTCTCCCGGTGAGCGAGAGCCCGCTTGTCAAAATGGCAGCTTGGAGATATTCCGCGCTCTACTAAGGAGACGCGGATAGGCTTGTTTCTTCAGCTTCCTCGCAATCAATCACACATACACACACACACACTTTTTTTTTTTTTTGGTGGTTGTGTAGTCCGAGGTAAACACAGCATGATATGTTACGGACTGCTAACCTTCCCCCCCCCCCAAACCCCAGCAAAATGGCTGGTCCTTTCTGCTCTCCTGTAGACAGCTCATTGGGTTCCATGAGCTTTCTGTAGTCATGGCAACAACCAACGGACAGATCTCCCAAGCATGGTTGGTCGTGTGCAGCTTGTCCCCCTCCGCTCGTCGAAGGTAAAATGCGGCTGGGCTTTCTTGTTACGCGGGGGTTCTGCGGCGCACTTGGTCTAAAGCGGGGCTGAGTCGGGCAATAGTCTCGCTGAACAATGCCGTTACAAAAAGTCAGTGTAAGCCAGAGGAATTGTCTCTTTTCCGTTGTCCTTTTCTTTTCTCCTCTAAAACTGGCCTGTGGCTTGAAAAATATTTAGAAAGCCATTTTGACCATTTATATTAAAGTGCACCTGTATGGATTAGTAGGGAATCTGAATCGGTCCAGTACTACAACTCCCATCCCTGATTCTAATCATGCTGGCAGGGAAGGTAAAAGGAAAGTAAAAGGAAGAGCCAGTCCTAACCTATAGTTATATGCTATAATTGAAATATCAGTATTAGTAGTTACAAGGCTTTGTTTATCCAGGAAATTAATACTAAGTTTTCTAGCCTAAAAGGAGTAGAGCAAGAAAACCTTATCCTTTCTTTCTGTAATAGCTAAATCTATATATCAGAATATATTATATTTTAAATATACAGTTTCCTAGCAAGGTTTTAATAGGTCATCACAGATAGTAAACATAGGGCAAAATGGTAATAATTTCCAAATGAGATTGGCCCAGCAACACACATTAGACAAAGACAATATCAAATGGCATCACAGTTAATACAGAATACACCATTGTACAGGTAGTCCTCGACTTATGATCTCAATTGAGCCCAACATTTTTGTTGCTAAGTGAGACATGTTAAGTGAGTTTTGCCCCATTTTGCGACCTTTTTTGCCACAGTTAAGTGAATCTCTACAGTTGTTAAGTTTCTAGCGTGTTTGTTAAGTGAATGTGGCTTCCCCATTGACTTTGCTTGTCAGATCACAAAAGGTGATCATATGACCTCAGGATACTGCAACCGTCATAAATATGAGTCAGTTGTCAAGGATCTGAATTTTGATCACATGACCATGAGGATGCTGCAATGGTTGTAAATGTGAAAAATGATCACTTTTCTCAATGACATTGTAACTTGGAACTGTCACTAAATGAACTGTTGTAAGTCGAGAACTACCTGTAATTCATAAAACACAGTTTATGGCTTAGTGGTATATGAGAATTCAACCACTGCATACAATTCAAGAAACCTTGGTAGGAACAAATAATACTATATAATGTAGAAAGCCAGGTTCTTCCACAAAAATATATAGCAATCTCTCACGAATCCCGGGTTAAAAGGCTGCTGCAAACTAATTAACTTTGATAAGCACAAACCTTGCCAAAACTGTGCGAGACTGCCAAAAATCACAGATAAATATTTCACAACACAAGAGTCTTCAAATACCAACTTAAGATACTGTAATATCCATGAGGCTCAGTTTCAAAACGTCTTTGCTTCCTGCAAAGAACGTTAGCTTAACAGCTGGCTTTTATCTTCTTGAAGGAGGGGCCATTACCTTGCAGCCTTGCTCCCGAGTCGCCCATACTGTTGCAGCTACTCTTTCCTACGAGCAATCCTGTGCACACGCGCACTTGGCACAGGCTCCTCGGGAACCTCCTCATTGCTGCTGCCAGGCCCCACAATCTCTGAAGGCAGCAGTCCACTCCCTAATGGTCCTGGCCCCTCATCTGAGTCCTCGCTCCCCTCAGCCGTCCACACCTGCTGCCAGCTAACCACAACAGAAATACTGTTAGAGTACTGAAAATCTTCATCCAGCTATGCAGAGCAACATTGTGCAGCCCTTGTAGCTTACCCTTTACTTTAGATTCCCAAACAGTGGTCCTAATAGTTTATGTAATTTGAAAAGTGAAATGGAGAAAGTCTTGGTGTTTTGCAAGTTATATGTTGTCTTGGTGTTTTGCAAGATATGTTGCTGATTAGACAAAAATGCAAATGTTCTCTATTTGTGATGTCAAACATTTTTATAATGTAGATACTGACTGCAAATAGCACAACCTCATTGTGCTAAATAAAAACAAGCAGGGTCAAAATTGAGGTTGACTGCAGGTGAATTCATCATTTTTAATTTCTGAATAAAAATAAGCTATTGTGAGCTTTAAATGAACATCAGCAAATAGATGCTTCATTTTTTTTGTTAAAAATATTATTTATTAAAATATTTTATAAGTTTAAAAGAGCCACAGAATTATAAAGGAAGAAGTAAAAAAAGAAAAATTGTAAAAGAATAAAAGAAAAAAAAATGAAGGATAAAAAAACAAAAAGACATCTAAAAAAACAACTTTCAATCTTCTGTACAGTAATTACATACATAGAAATTATATCTCCTCCTTCCTATATTGTACATCATGGTTCCCTTCTTCCCAAAGACAAATCTTTTAAATCCAGAAATCCAAAATCATCAGTTCATTTTATCTATTTTCAGCAACAAGTTCATTAAGAATTTCCAGTCTTTCCAGTCCATAAAAGTAGTTGTAATTCCCTTCTTAATCAAACTCAGTTCAGCCATTTCTGCAAACTCAGCCATCTTCACAATTAGTTCCTCCATCACTGATGTTTCTGTAGTTTTCCATCTTTAGGAAATAGATGCTTTTAAATAAAATAAATACCGGTAAGTCTGATCAAACAGAAAGAGATATATATTTTCCATTGTACTTTGTTTAAAGGACAAAAGACAGGCAAGACTTGAAGGCTTTATTTTATGTTTATCCATGTTTTATGATGTCACAAGTGAACAAATATATCAAATGGTTAGAAGCTATGGTAGATAACATGACGATATGATGACATATCGTATCTTTTAACCCTTTGTCACTTTTGGGATGAGGGCTAACTTAGACATGGCTACTTTTAATTTTCTTTAAGATGAAAAAATTAGGCAACATTTGCAATAAATCTGTCAGGAAGATGATTGGAGAAATACTTTATGCTACTTATATTTAGAACCTATATATAAAAAAATAAAGTCTTTGCATTGAGGCAATTTTGGACTGGAACTTTAGCCATGAAAGTTTAGCATGCTGCCCTATAATTTATACATAATTGTAATCTACATAACAGTAGTAAAGGTAAAATGGGAAAAAAATCTAACTGCAAATAGTCCCCAATTCCATGAAGGAAATATTTATTTCTGCATTTGTATCACATGTTTCTTTGGGTTCTTAAGGTAGTGTGGGTAGAAGCTCCCCCAGTTTAATTTTCACAACAGCCCTGTGAGAGGTAGATTGAACTGAGAGACAATGCCCAGACCAAAACTTATGGGCTTTTGAGTTTGCATTACCAGTCCAAGTTGAAGCTCTGAATTCAATTTATTAATTCTGAATATATACTGCTTAGTATACATAGAACATTAGACTAATAGGGCTGGAAGGGACCTTGGAGGTCTTCTAGTAGTTCAATCACCTACCCATGTCAGAAGATCCAGTACTATTTCAGACAAAATGGCTATCCAATCTCTTAAAAACCTCCAGTAATGAAACACCCATAACTTCTGGAAGCAAGCTGTTTCACTGATTAATCATTGTCACTTCTCTGGCAATTTGTCCTTAATTCTAAGGAGAATTCTTAATTCTCACTCATTCTCTCACTAATAATCTTCCACCCATTACTTCTTAACATATCCTCAGGTGCTTTGGAGAATAGTGGACCCCTTTTTCCTCTATGACAGCTTCTCAAGCACTGAAAGATTGCTGTCATATCACCCCTAGTCCTTCTCTTTGTTAGGCTAGACATGCCTCATTCCCTTAATTGTTCATTAATCATTCATTAATCGTATGATTTAGCCTCTCTTTTCTGCACTCCTTCAATAATAAATAGTAATAATTTATCTTTTCGGATACATGCACCCCAATGTGCAGGGAAGGGTGTTGTCCAATGGCCCCATAATTTTATACAGTCTCATTAACAGTGGTAGAAAATACTGAGTTGGAAATGAGATCTGAAGTACACCTTCTGCATAGGATTAGCCAGAACTAATCCTTCCACCACCCCCACTATCCAAGTTGGAACTGATGAAGTTTCTTGAATGAGAGGGAAAACATCTTCAAGGAAAAAGAAAGTCCAATTGCCTTTTGAAAAAACACCTTTGAGAATAACCATGATCTGAATGACTGAAAATATCCATAGATACTTTCTGCATACTGTACAGTTTCTAAATTAATTGCAGTGAGTAGTATTTGTAAGTTACAAAGTAATTACATGTCAATAATACATTGTAGAAATTGCTACATTAATATATTCCAGACAACTTTTGAATCAGCTACAAAATCACCAAATTTTCCTAAGAAAGGTTTCAAATTAGTTAGAGCCTGTATGCCATGATTCAACAGAGAATTTAATATTTGTCATGTTTTCTGACTAAAAGCTGTTACGAATCTTTTCTGTTTCTTCCTTTTTCTTTCTTTTTAAAGAATATTTAGATTGTTTGCAAATAGTATGTTAATATCCAGTTTTAGATAAAGAAAATATTCATAATTTCAGTGGTTTGTGTGCCATCCAAAACACAAAGGCTAGATTAAGATGCATAGCAATTATATTGACATTTATTCAGAAGCAAGTTAAATTATGTTCAACAGATTATGCCCCAAAGAAAACATGCAAAGGATTATTGCTTCCAAGAAGTTTATGGAAGGAAAACATCTAATACTCACATCACTGCAGTTCTTTTTAGAGGCTTGTATGAGGGAGAAAAGTACTTGAATAATCGGAAATTAGAGATTTCTTTTGATGGTAGAAAAGCTGTGTTCTATAAAGTTCTTAGATTTATTATTTTATTTTTAATGTATCTAACATACTTACTGAGCATTTAGTAAAGCAATCTGGCAGTG